GCAGCTGCCTGTGGCCCGGCAGCTAGGCAGACTCCAAGTGCAGGCTCCAAACACCAGCTGGAGTGCAACCAGGAACAGAGACTGGATCCTCCAGATGGGAAGAAAGGCTACACTGGACTAAGCTTTGGCATGGAACAAAATATCTGGACACTGTCTCTGTTTCTGGGCCTGATGAAGACAAGACTGGACTTTTTCCACAGTGGGATGGACAGAGATGAGACACTGGGAACTTAGGGACAGCCTTCCATTTCTATTCCAATACACCTTACCACTACGTCTCATTCTTTCATCTGTGGGTCTCCCAAAATGCTTTTCTCATGACTCTGTAAAAGGACTCCATATCCACCGGCAACAATTTGACCTGGACTTTGAAAGATGAATAGAGATGGAAGCTTAGAAGAGCGTTCTAGTCAGAGGGAAAAAAGCAACCATAAATGAGTGCTTACTAGATGCCAGACTCTTTGTGTATTATTATAGTTATCACAACAATCTTGTGAAATAAGGGGTTTTATTGTTTTTGTTTTTTTTAAATGGTGACAGTTGCTGTGGTTTGGAAGTGAATGATAGAAATAAGTGCGTTATGATTAGGATTTGTACCAGGTCCATTTGACTTCAAAACACCTTTTATTCTTTTCCTTATTCACTTCTCTTTTCATAAGCAAAGGCACAATTAAATGTCTAGTAAAAGATGGGCTGAGTTGAGCAAATCAACCTTTCTGCTAAAAATAACTAAAAGTGTTCAATATAAATCTTAAAATCATCAAGGAGTCAACAAGTTAGAAAATAAAGTGGGAACTCAGAGAAGTAAGCTGAATTCTGAAATCGTTTTTGCATTCAGAACATTTGCTCAACTGCATGAACTTAAACTTTGATTTTGACAGCCTGGCAGTGCAGGGGACAGAAGAAAGATTAGATCCTACCAGAGATGCAGTATGTAATAGGAAACCCTTACTTTTCCCATAATTGTACTTCAGAGAACTACACACTTATAGAAGGATGAATTAGAGGTAAAACCATGCCATCTTCCTATCCCCATGTGCATTGGCACTGAACAAAGTAGAGGAAAAGGTCCTTAAGGACTTAAGAATGTTAGTTGGCTCTCAAAAGATTATGTAGCCCAAATTTACACAACTTTGGAGGTCCAAAAGCCTTCAAGACACAAATTTAGTTTAAAGTGGTCTAAACTGATAGAGCCCTTAGGTGCCTGGCAGACACAAATGCAGATCCTTGTGGTATAGCTGTGTTGATGGATCAGATAAGAGTCTTAAGCAAAAATGCATTTTTAGAGCTAAAAAGGTACAGAAAGTTCATAATGACAAGTTTACATTCAGGACGATATAACAATATTAAACATATATAACTAGTAACATGGCTTCTGTAATAGTGAAATTAACAGAAGTACAAAGAATAAAAGTTTAAAATAGTGTGATTTTTTTAGTAATTGATAGAATAAGAAGACAAAATTCCATAAAGATAGATTATGTGAACAAATAATTATTGGTAAATCCAATGGACATATATAGAACATTGCATCTAATAATTCCAAAATAAATACGCATTTTTTTAAAGTTTACTCAGAAATTACAAAATTTTACTATGTACTGCTTCCTCAAGCAAGTCTCCACAAATTTGAAATAATTAAAATTATACAGAGAATGTTCTTTGATCACAGTGTAATTGAGGTAGAAATTAATAACAACTAGAAACTCCTGTGTTTGGCAATTAAACACTTCTCAGTAACCCATGTTTCAAGGGAAAAAATCAATAATGTAAATTAGAAAATATTTTAGAGTGAATAATGAAAATACTACATTCAGAGTTTGAGAGATGCAACCAAATTAGGAGTTAGCAGGAAATTTATATTTTTAAATGGTTAAATTTAAATTATTAATTAAAAGAAAAGAATGAAGTCTGAAAAATAATGATCTCTGAGTTAATTTTTTTAAAAAGAATATTTTATTTATATATAGAGAAAGAGATGGAGAAAGAGAGGGAGAGAAACATCAGTGTGTGGTTGCCTTTCAAGTACCCCCAGCTGGGGACCTGGCCTATAACCCAGGCATGTGCCCTGACTGAGAATTGAACTGGAGACCCTTTGGTCCTGAGGCCGGTGCTCAATCCACTGAGACACCAGTCAGGGCTTCAATTTCAAGAAGTTAGAAAAAATAGCAAATTCTCTTAAAAGTTGAAGGAAGGAAATAGCGAACAGAAATGGAAAACAGAGATAGAATCAATAAAGCCAAAAGTTCTTGAAAAGACAATTAAAATCTCATGATAAGATTAAGACATATCACATCAGAATGAAAAATCTTAACTGCAGAAGCTACAAACATTAAGAAGCAAAGAGAATATTGAATTTATGTCAGATAAAATGGATAAATTTTCAGAAAGTAAAGATGGATTCTATCAAAGAGATAGAAAACCTAAATAGCACAATAACAAATAAATCAGTTAAAAAAAATCTTCCCACAAGGAAATTTCCAGGTTTGAGTGGCTTCACAATTGAGTCTACCAAACATTTATAGAAGTAATTCTATTAGTTATCTATTGCTGCATAACAAATCACCCCAAAATGTAGTGATTTAAAACAACAACAATCATTTATCGTCTCTCCTGTGAGTCCCTCAGGAAGGACCTAGGGTTGCTATGGCTTGAGATCTCTTCACGAGGCTGTAGTCAGATGCCAGCTGTATGATAGCCTGGGGCATTCACTTCAGGGATATCTTACCTTGTTGGCAAATGATGTCCACAAGTTAGTTTTCCAGGCTGGCCTTTACATGGGCCGCTTGAGTTCTCATTACATGGGCCCAGAATGAACAGTCCAAGATGCCTGTATGGATGCTTCAATGACTTTTATGACCTAACCTCAGAAATCACATTGTTGTTTCCATTATATTTTCTTGGTTACTCAGATTATACCTGACGTCATTTAGGATGAGGAAACTTACGCAGGGTGTAAATACAGGGGGGAGAAGCTCACTGGGGGGCCTTTCTGAAGGCTGGCTACCACATCAGACTTGTACTTACATTTCCGGACAGGAGAGGGAGATGGGGAAGGGGGGTGTATAACACTCTCCAATTCATTTTACGAGGCAGATATAAGAGAGAAATATTATAGGCCAATCTTTCTTACAAATATAAGTGTGTGTGTGTGTGTGTGTGTGTGTGTGTGTGTGTGTGTGTTTTATCCTCACCCCAGGAGATTTTTACTATTGTTTTTTTTAGAGAGAGAGGAAGGGAAAGAGAGAAACTTCGATGTGAGAGAGAAACATTGATTGGTTGCCTCCTGTATGCACCAGGACCAGGGATCGAACCCACAACCTAGGTATGAGCCCTGATGGGGAATTGAACCTGCAACCTTTTGGTTACAGGATGATGCTCCAACCAACTGAGCCACACCGTCCAGGGCAAGATGTTAATTTTTTTGTTGCTTCAGGGTCTCATCCTAATTTTGAACTTGTTTCTGACATAAGCATTTTTAACTGAAATATTCCTCCACTGCCACTGCCTTTAGAGAAGCTGAACCTGAAATGCCCAGTGCACTGCTGGGTAGGAGCTGCCCTGTTATTGCTGACTTAGCATCTGAAATCTGGCTCACAAAAATGCTTAATGAGCTTGGGGACTTGTGCTGTGGCTAGTGCCTGAGACATTGGTTGCACACATTTCTCTGTCTCAGGAGAGCAAACTGGGCTGCCAAACCTCCATTTTTCTTTCCACGTGAATTAGGGTGTGGGAAACAGAGTTGGGCAAGAAGTGATAGAAGTAGGAAACTTCCAGGACATCCCAGAAATCTAACTTTCACAATAATATTTACATCAAAACGTTGTTTCCCTTGCTGAGGAACCATATCCCTGAAAGCGTAGCCTTTTTTATTTGGTTCTCTAACTCCCTCTTCCTGCCACAGAGATTGTTATCCTCTAAATAACAATCTAGATTGTTATCCTCTTTGGGCGAGCTTCTCAGCCTGAACTTTACAATCCCACTGGGGAGGTTCTTAACCTAAAGCTTGGCTCAAATGCTCCCCCTACCCCAAGCTTTCATTATTCCCCTTTTCCTAACACTCTTCGCTCTGAATAGAGCATGTAGGCTCCCACGGTGACCTGCTGTCTGTCTCCTTGATTTCCTTTGATTCATGATGGAGCACGGAGAGCTGAGCCTACAGGAGAAATAAATGAACTAATTATGGCACTGAAAACATGCCGCTGCTTCTTGCTTACTAACTTTGAGCTGGGAGATAGGAGATGAGTTGCTTCTCACCCACTGGAAAAAGAGTTAAGTAGTTTTACTTTAAATTATGCTGCTAAAGGCACATAGCAAACTTCTGGGAACAAGTGAACCACTTGGAGAATTTCGACCTCTTTTAGTCTTCCTGTTGGGACTAAGAGTGTGGGGCCTGAGGTGAAGGCCCTGCATGTTTCATTTTCAGCCAACCTCTACCTATTGGAGTTAATTTATTCTTCATGTTGGAACACAGGTCTTAACATTTGGTGAAGCTTTCCCCAACCATTCTATTCCCATTGTGCTTGTTGACTGAACCATAACGCAGTGTTTTTCACTACTCTTTTGGTCTTGAGTGTATGTTATTTGATACCTTCTCACTGGAAATGACTCATCTGTCCCACTAGATTCCCTGCCTCCAGAGCTCAGGGGCTGAGTCTTAGAGATCTGTGTATTTCCCTATAACACCTCTCACATAGCACCTTGCACTATTTGCAGTTATCAGAATGGATTGGCTTAGTATCTGTTTGTTTGGCACAGTTAGAGCAGATTAGGGTCCTTCTGGCAGGAGGCTACAATCTCAGATGGGATTGTAGCAGGTGGACGTAGAGAAATCCTACACAGAGATGTGAATAAACAACAAAATGTATTCTCTGGGGGAGGCCCAGGGTAGGACGTTGAGTCCCCAAGGGGGAAGGATGGAGGGAAGTAAGCCCCTGGTTTTAATTCCATTTTTTCCCTCGTTAAAATCCCCTTCTCGCATCCTTGGTCTCTTTTCACAGAATCCTGCCATCAGCATCACTGAAAATGTACTGCATTTCAAAGGTCAGTATTCGGGCAAATGCTTCCAGCTCTCCCCACAGTTAAAGAAGCATAGCGGTGGTTTCTTTTTATTTTCTCATATTTGTTATATTCACTTTCTATTTATGCTTACCTCTCTGATATGCTTGGGGTATACTAGATTATTTTGAAATATATGGTTAAGAAAGCCAAAGAGTTTGTTTAAAATCCTGCTTTCCCCTCAGAGAGACAGTAGATATAGCGAAAAAGAATCCTGGGCTAGAAATAAGGAAATCTGTCTTTTAGCTCTAATTCCGACAACTTTTTGACTTCTCTGGACCTGTAAAATAGGGCATTGGGTTATAAGTTGTTTCTCAAACTTGAGGACCCACAGACATCTGAGACTGTGTCCTTAGCATCCTCCAGGACCATAGGCCCAGGTTGAGAAACATGTTTAGAGTTAAATATGATCACTTTAAGTGATAATTTGGCTTCATTGAAGCTGTGAACACAGATGTAAACACAGCCACTGAACTTGTGTGGTGGTACTTGCTTATAAGGGAGCCATCTAGATCAGGGGTCCCTGACCCCTGGGCCATGGACCAGTACTGGGTCAGTGGCCTGTTAGGAACCCGACCTGCACAGCAGGAGGTGAGCCGGGAAGCTTCGCTCTCGTTACTGCCTGAGCTCCGCCTCCTGCCTCCCCTGCACCCTACCCCTGGTCTGTGGGAAAATTGTCTTTGTGAAACTGGTCCCTGGTGTCAAAAAGGTTGGGAACTGCTGATCCCTTTTTTTTTAAAGCTTAAATGAGACCGAAAAATAGAAGTGTTCTTAATGAGGTGTGTGGCTCCCTGGTAATTACACTTTCAGAGCAGTTTAGGAAACACTTAACTCTGGGTATGTAAGACTTTTCCAGCGACAGTCTTTGATTCTGCGAATCTGCCTCCATCTCCCTGCTTCTCAGTTCAGCAGCACATTCGCTGCTTTGCCTCAGGGTAGGTCTGGGTTCATCGTTACCCAACAGGGTGGGATTCTCCCTAATCTCTTTCTGTTCTAGTTTCTCAGAATGTCACTAGTAATTGACTAGGGTCATGGGACATTGACGAGTTTCCATTTTACATCAAATTCCATCTGCCTTAATATACTTGCATGAAAGCAAAGCCTGACTTTTTTATCTACTTTTCGAGATGAGGCAGTGGTGGTAGCAGCTCAGGGTTTTTGTTTTTGTTTTTTTTAGGAGTTACACATTTGAAAGGATGTTAGAGTGATATAAGTGTATCTTGCCACTTGGAGCTTATAGCTTGTCCTGTCTGAAGGAATTCAGGGTATCTTAGGGAACAACAGCTACCTGTAGCAAATATTAGGCAAGTCACACTACATATGGCCAGATGAGGGGAGAGAGCCGAATTGACAGACGAGTCAGTCAGAGGGGCAGGGATGCCCTGCGGTCACTGGCACCGAGGCGTGGCTAGCTTTGGGGAAAGGAGCCCTGTCAAAGCACAGGGACGGGGTAATGGTCAACCCCAGCGCTTTCCTCCCAGTGCCATTTGTCCTCCTTTAGGAATGAGCTGAGGAGATTATTTTTCTCTTTTTTTGTTCCACTTGGGATGTGTGAAAGGAGACGTCACCTTCACCATTTTCTCTCCCTGGTTGGGAGGTGTTACGTTCAGAGCTTTCTTGGAGACAGTCCAGCACTTCTGGGTATCCTGCAACTTCCCTTAACCTGAGTTTTCGCTGCTTTGGATTCAGCACCAGAACGTTTAACGTTTAACAAGTGAACGTTAAATTTATATCTATGGGATACCTTTGGCCTTGCTTTCTGTATTCTTTTTCCTGCCTATTATTTGTACTGGGCATCGTCAGGGCCATCTTGGAGGATTAAGTAAATTCCCTGGAACTGACCATTAGAAGGACCAATGGAGATAAGCTTTTGTTCAGCTTTAGCTTATCGAGCTGTTGAGTAGCTCTTCTCACAAGCCCTCACTCACTTTGGCAGGACCTGTTAATATTTGTATACTTCTGAAAGAACTGCACTGAGCTTTTGGATGGCCTTTCTCTGCTCAAGTTTGCAGTAACCCACATTTTTTTCTTTATAGCTCAAGGACATGGTGCCAAAGGAGATAATGTCTATGAATTTTACCTGGAGTTCTTAGAGCTTGTGAAACCAGAGGTATGTTCTTCTCTTTCTTTTTTAGGAAATAAAATACTAGCAGTTTAGTGAAAGGGGGAGCAAGGGTTGTGGGAAAGAAGATAAAAACCAAAGGAGAATATAGTTCTTTTATTTGGAACATGTTTTGGCTGCTGAGGAATGTGGAAGTCGGAGAATCTGAGGTGAATCTGGGGTCTGCCACTTATCAGCAGTTTGAGTCCCTTCGCTTGGAGTGTGTTTCCTTATGTGTTAAATGAAAGATTGGAGAAGCGATCTCTAGGATGTTTTCCAGCTCTGATCTGTTTTTTCAGGGATCCTACCCGGCAGCTTCTTTGTAAAGTCACACTGGCTTGGGACAGGTTCAGGGGAAGGAGTGGGGGGTGGGAAGGAGAAGGCATTCTCACATCCTCCTTTTCTTTCTTAGCCTGTTTACAAACTGACCCAGAGGCAGGTAAACATTACGGTACAGAAGAAGGTGAGTCAGTGGTGGGAGCGACTCACCAAGCAGGAGAAGCGCCCACTGTTTTTGGCCCCTGACTTTGATCGCTGGCTGGACGAGTCTGATGCGGAAATGGAGCTCAGAGCCAAGGTCAGTAACGACCCTAGGACCTAGACAGAAACCATGAGGAACCCAAATTATTTTGGCCATCTCAGATACTTACCAGGATCTGACAGAATAAATATAAAGTTACAAATTCAGGTTACAGCCTGGTGACATGGTCATCAATTTTGAACAGTGTGAACCTCTCTATGGGATTTGTTTGATCCTCCCCGCCCCCATGACTAGACTAGGGTGATTTGTTTTGGGGGAGGAAGACCTCAGAGGTTTCTCATTGTGTCATGTCATGGGTACAGACTGTGACTTATCACTGTTGATATTGATCTTGCTCATGTGACTGAGGTAATGTTTGTCAGGTTTCTTCACTTAATGTTACTGCCCCGCTTTTCTTACTATACTCTTCAGAAGGAAGTGACTATGCATAACTGCGCCTCAGGAGTGGGGAGGCACACGCTTCCCATCTTCAGGGTGGAGTGTCAACGTACTTATTGGAATTATTCTGCATTGGAGAGTATTCTCTCCTATTTATTTATTCAGTCATTTAAAAAAATATCAGTATGGACATGAATATTTATTTTATAGTTTGGTTTATAATTCAATACTATGTTATTTTGTTGCTCAAATTGTTTCAGATTTGGTGGTTAGAACTCTTCCCATTGGCTCTTATGTCCCTTTGACAAAGCCCAACGCTCCATCGTTGTGGGGCTCTTCCCCCCTCGCGCCCTCCCGCGCGCCCTCTCTCTCCCAGTCCATTCCCACTCTTCCTTAATTTCTGGCAGTAGAAGCTGCTCCAGGCTTATTTTGTATATTCTCTGCTCCAGTCCTAGAACCAGCCATTCTTCAAGGAGCTCTGTTCTTTTTATTGGAGGGAACAGGTCGTGAACACCAAGATCTGGGCTCACATATGCTTGTTGCTCCTGGGGTTCTGTCACTTCCAGGCCCTCTGAGCTGACAGAACAACGAGCTATTTGTGTGCATACTACCCTGTGCATATACCTATATCTATAAATATTTCTATACGTAACCTTCTATATATTAACCTAATATGAGTTCATACTGGGGTGAAGACATGATTTTAGGTTCTGGAAAAGTTATACCAAAAATCTAGAGGTGTTAAAAAATAAAAAAGCAATCTATTTTCTGCCTTAAATTTCTGTTTTGTTTCTACGACCGTGACAAATCTGGATGTCTTTCCAGCTCTGAGATTTCAAGACCACCCACTTTGTAGTTTGGAAGCCAGCTGACTGGCCAGCTCTGTGAGCCTTGGATGGGCATTCTCTGATGCCAGTGCTACTTAGCAAGGAGGAGTCAGGCTTTTTGGCTCCATGAGCTAGGACGTTTTCCCCAATGAAGCATGAACGCAGCTGGAGGTAGCTTTTAGAGAGTGAGTTCACTTATCCAGCACGTGGACTTTGGCAAGCATCTGGGAATTCTAACTTGTGTTCTTGGAAAACTTCTGTCCAAATTCTAGGAAGAAGAACGCCTGAATAAACTACGAATTGAAAGCGAAGGCTCTCCTGAAAGTAAGTTGCCCCCATGGCTGTGGTAGTTACCAGATCATGTGTGACAGCGATGGGTACGGGTGAGTGTGCGGTGGCAGGAGAGCTAACGGGGTGTAAGGGAGCGGGTGGGCGAGCCTTAATGTCCAGGGCTTACTCTGGGCACACCCACATCAGAAGCTTTCCTTTTTATGTTTCCCTACTGTTTGGAGCCTGACATCGTCTGAGCATAGCAGGCTGGTATAGCAGTATGGAAGAACCTTATACTCCGGGGCAGGCCTAATGTTAGGTGGCAGCGTGTACTGTGTGGATGTGTGGAAATACCATGTATTTCCAAGGCTATGCGCCTTCCAGCCTGGCGTTTTTCTCCCAACCGAGATCTTAAGGGCTGTGCCGCAGATAGGTGTGGTCGTCAACCTCAACGAATGCGTTTCTATTTCTATCTGTCCAACCAGTTATAAACAAGAAGTTCTGTAAGTGTATTATCTTCTGGGTGACATAGATTAAAGTCAGCAGTTAGCTATTAAGTTATTGCTACGTCGAATACATTGTGCTAGTCCCTTGCATTTGGAGCTGATGAATGCGTCATAGCGCCTGTGCTCTAAGGGCTTCCATTTGAGGAAGGACTATGACGGTCTGTAAGGTAACACTAATGCTGAAAAAGCAATAAAATACAGGTTCCTCATTTGTCCATACTTTTTCAAGTTTTAGTGGTGCTTATTTGGTGTGCCATAAATGAGGAAGTGGAACGTTGTAGAGCAGTGGTTTTCAAACTATGTTCCATGACCCGCCCCCGGGGTTTGCTGAGGTGCTTTGGATGCATAGGCCAACCGAGCCGTTCGACTCTCGTCAAGACAGCTCAGCTTTTGTGTTTTATGTTTTGGTGTTGTAAATAAAGTTTCTCTTGAAAAGGAGGTTTCGTTGCTCTTTAAAAAGATGTGAATAACTTAATTTAGAGAAATATTCCCTTAGAAAAGTAAAGGAGGGGAGACAGTTAGTGGAGGGAAAGAATAACAACAGCATGAAAGGCCATCTAAGATTTAAATTAATTTTTTTGGTTTTAGGAGAATAGACTTCAAAAAAATGCTTATATGTGGATTTTTAGGTTGTTAGATAAAGGTTTAATTGTTTTATCTAAATTCATAAAGTTTCCTGATGAAAGAAGTTTTTTATGCTGGGGAAGTGTAATAAACTTTTGAAGTTTTAAAGAAAAAAATTTTATTAGTTAAATGTTGCCAAAAGCCTGGCTTTTTTGGCTCCTTAGAATAAGATTGATTTTGCTTAGCCACACCGCTGCGTAGTGTGTTTCTCTGAGCATCAGCCAAGTGTGAATGCAGGGTATCTGGAGTCTAGGAGTAAATTTGCGGCAGCAGAATCTGAACCCCACAGCTCTTCTCTTGAGAATCATCCTTTCCTATATCCAACTCCGTTGACTCAACCATGACTCTGAGTCCTCACTCCCTTCTTCACTCTATTAGCTGTGTGTTTGCAAACCTTAGGCTGCAGACAAAATAAATATCCCTTATTCTCTTGCCTTTTGGTTTGTAATTTTCCTCCTTTGGTTATACCCTCATGCTACCCATCCTCCAAAGCCCAGATCAGATACCTGCCTGATTCCCACTTCCCCCAGCCTCTTGTCATTTTCTCACCTTGAAATTTTCACAAGATGTTACCTATTACTCTATCTTGTATTATGGTTTTAGATTGTAAGTTCTTTGAATCCCAGTAAGGCCCCTTTATACTTTGGACATCGTAGGTGTTCAGTTAATGCTCGGTTGAATGAATATATGATCGAATACCAGAATTTCTTTCATTATTCTTTCTCTCTCTGAGCTAGTATGACCTGTATGGCCTTAAAAAAATTCCAGAGAAGTAACTGTAGATTATATTAAGATGATAAGAACAGGAGCTGGGTATAGCTTTCTCCCCCTACTTTAATGCCTCCTAAGATATATTCTCTTTTTTGGATTTGTTATGTCTGTATATTTATCCTTTAAGGCTCTGAGGGCAAAGACTGCTGAAAACATACCTTGGAGTCCCATGTTCCTCACAATTTTTCCTTATTTGTTTCTCTGTGGGACCAGGAGCCAGACTGGTGCAGACCTGGGCCAGATATTTGTGGAGGAACTTGGGGCACCCAAGTAGGAAAGAGGGATGAAGTTATGCTGGCATACCCTCCACACCCCTCTCCTGCTGTGACTGTGACTACTGCTTGTGACATACTGCCTTCCTTTGCGTTTCAGCTCTTATAAGCTTGAAAAAGGGATACCTGTTCATGTATAATCTTGTGCAGTTCTTGGGATTCTCCTGGATGTTTGTCAACATGACTGTGCGGTTCTTTATCTTGGGAAAAGGCAAGTACCAAATTTTAATGCTGGTTTTCTTTTTAGAGTAGATTGGCTGATTGTTCCCTAAAGCTGATACTGTCTGCCTTTGGTGTTAGTGATAACCCCCAATATTTGTGTAGCATTGCTTGCTTTTCATTGTACTTTCACACCTGTTATTTCCCATGGCCTCTGATCCCAGGCAGGCTGGTCTCCTGTCTATTTAGCAGGTGAGGAAACGGGCTTAGAGATGGCCAAAGAAATGGTCTGTGTCTACACAGCCCCCCAGGGGTGTACTTTGGGCTCGCATCCCTTTCTCTATTCACTACATGAGAGTTTATAACTAAAGAAATTGATGGATACTTCAATTGCCAAACTTAAGCAAGTCCAAAAGGCATGTCATCCTTTTAGAGCCTAAATAGATTCTCAACTGAGCTCTTCTAAAATGGAATGAAAAGACTATCATGAAGATATTAGTTCTTGATAAATTAATTTGCATGTTTAACAGAATTCTGGACAATGTAAATGACAGTGGAAAATATTTGAGAATGTGACCCAAAGTATTCTGAAATTTTATTGTGAACAATAAATAGATAATTATGTTTTGGGGAAAAAGAAATGGGAGAGGACTTTCTCTACCTGATGTGAAAGAATGATAATTAAAATAGTACAGTCTTAGTGTAAGAATAATCAACAGAGCAGATTAGGTAGCCTAGAAATAGCTCCTACATTATATGTATATCTGAATTATATATGATAAAGGAATCATGAACTGATGGAAAGGAAAATATCCAATACTTTTTTATTGGATAAATGTTTCCAAGGAAAATTGGTTAGGTTTGGGCACACGAGGGAGCAAGGACTCTGGCTCTTCTTCTCCACACCGTATACAAAAATAAATTCTGTCAAAGGATTTAAGAATTATGTATCAAAAAGTTTAACCATAATAGGAGATACAAGTAAATGTTATAAAAATCTCATGTGAGAGGTTAGGCTTTTCTAAGAACTTGGAAGAATCATAAAGGAAAAGGTCAATATATTTGACTATAATAAAATATCTGAATTCCTATATCTAAAAACACCTCAGCCAAGAGAGCATGAAAGATTAATAGTATATTGAGGTTAGCAGCGTGGAGACTAAGGGTTGGTGGAAAATTGCAACAAATACCTGGAGGAAGGGTTGATCTCTTTACATAAAAAGAACTTGCACACATTGATTTAAAAATGTGAAAACTCCACCAAATAGATAAATAAAATTATGTACAGGAAATTCATAAGAGGAAATAAAACTAATTTAATGTAGTGAAAAAAATGTTTAACTCAGTAATGATGAAGAAAATAAAAAATAGCGACATTTTTTATTATCAATTTTGCAAAGTTAAAAAAGATATCTAAATCAAGAGGACATATGCTAAAATAGACACACCAGTGGCTACTGTGAAGGTACACAATTACAATGACTCTTGGGAAATCATTTGGCAAAGTGAATCTAGAACCTTCAATGTCCATGTCCTTGAAACTGGTCATTTCATTTCTGGAACTGTCTTTTAAAGAAAGAATTGAAACTACAAGAGAAGCTTTTCAGAGAGATAGACATTATGGCATTGTTAATATAGTGACAAAGTAGAAGCTACCTAAATGTCCACTGAGGGATTGATTTAGAATATTCCCTCAGGGGCATGTTGTGAAACAAACATAAGGTATTTAAACAGTTCATAATAACATGGAGAAATACTGATGACAGGCTAAAGAAGTAACATATAAATTTGTTTTTCCATTTTGCTCACACCCATATAAAAGGGAAAATGAACCAAAACATGTAAAAGATTGGGAGGAATGTGGATAGTTAAAAAGCTTTTTCTTTATTTTGTGAAATCAGTAGGAGGAAAAACATAAGTATAATGGAAAAATATAAACTATTTAAAAAGAGGAAAAAAGTTTGTAGACTGTTTCATTCTTTACTCCTAAATTTTTCCGTCTGAGATTTGTAGAAGGTGAATCGTAGTTAGCTCTAGAGTCATTTGAAAGAAGCGCTCATTTTTTCCAGCCTTCTTAACACCTTGGAATTATGGAAATCACAGTTTAAACCAACACAATTAGATTGATTCTGTGTGATGTCGTGCAAGGCTGCTGGCTGTTAGGTGGTATAGTCCAAAAGCTAATAAGTTATCTGGGTCGTGTGTTGAAAGTAAGCTGCCTGAATTTGTAATTTCTGTTTTGGCTCTGAGCCCCTTCCTAACCACCTGCTGGAATGGAGCTGCTGGTTTAATTCTTCCCTTATCAGTCCTCAGAGAGGAGTTGGGGCTTGGTGCCCAGGCTCTTAGTTTGCCCTTTGCAATTTTTTCCTTTTGAATAATGGATGTTGGTGAACGGCAGATTCAACACAGGTACTTTTTTTTTCATGTAAACATGTATTTGCTAAAGTTCGTATGCTAAGGAAACAGCAGAAGACTCTTGGGCTTAATGTAGAAACTCTTGTTTGAGTTTGTCTAGGTCTCTATTAAGCAATACCTTTTTATTAAATAAATTTTTAACTTTTTCCTAATTATAAAAATGTGTTACAGAAAACAAATCAGAAAATAAAGACTTAAAAGAAAAAACTCTACCATAATCCCAACTCTGACAGCAACAGAGTCTTGGTCCCTTGGTTCTTGGCATCTTTCCCACATAACTTCTTTGAGAACAATTCCTGAAGTGGAATTGTGAGATCAGAGGACAAATTGTTTTTAAGGATTTTGATGTATACTGCCCAGAAAGAGTATATACTATTTTATACTACCACTATTTAAATCCATGTTCCATTAACATATGAGTGCCTTTTCCTAGTTTCAAAAATCTTTTTTTCAAATCAGAAGATTAAATGTACCTACTTAAGAAAGTTTGTAAAATGGGGAGAAACGGGTGAAGGTGTGGTGGAGGAGGGGGAGGTGAATAAGCCATTGTCTATCACTATTAATATTTCCATACACTGCCTTTTAGTCTTTTTTTCTCCTGTTAAAAATTGTAATCATACTGTATATACAATTTTGCATCTTGTTTTTAAAACAATATTCTAAGTAGTTCGATGTTAATAATATTCTTTATAACTATCATTTTAGAAGTCAGATTTCTATTCCTGAATTGAAACAAGGATCGATTTCCCATAAAATAAGAGGCAAAAACCATAAGATCTAATTTTTGTTTACCACATGCCAAATCTTAAGTTACAACTTTCTAAGTATGAGAGGTTGAGAGGCCCTCACTTTTCAAAGGAGAAATGCCACTGACAGTGAATCCCCCTCTAAAGGATGCTAGAATTTCATTGTGAATGTTGATAAAAAAGTTAGATTGGGATTTTGTCTTGAAAAGAGGGCATTTAAAATATGAAAATAAATTTTTACTGTATACATCGCAAATTTAAATTGTAATTTTGCATTAGTTCAAAGAAAGTAATTAGTTAAATTTTGAGCTACTTAACTGGTGGAATTTTCCTGGTAAAATTATACATTAACAGTATATACCATTCTTCATTTCACATTTGACTTTGTAGCAGGACTATAACATGAGTCATTTCTGCAAAAATACTTTAGGGGGCTTCTTCAGTTTTTGCGAGGGCCTCTTTTATCCATCTGGTGTTTAAACCATACTCTCTGAGGCCCCTGCATTGTCACCGTTTTTGGTAGCTGTCCTGACTCTCAGATCCTTGGAAGCACTACTGGGCTTTAGCAGGCAGCCAAGAATCGTAAACTTTCTGTGATGTGCAGGACAAACATTGTCTTAGCCAAAATGTCACCGGTGCCCTGGCTGAGAAACGCAGCCAAGAGGAAAGTAGGAACTCAGGACGTCAGGTGGGGACCAGTGTGGGAAGGGAAGGCTTCTGCGCTATGGACTGCTCAGAATTGATGCCACATTTGCTGACCTCATATAAGCAATAACTGTTATTTTAAATTGTTCCATAATATCCATGAAGCAGATATACTGTAATTTACTCAAACTTCCCATACCCTTAGACATTTAGACAGTTTCACTTTTATGCACTTAGAAATGTTTCAGAAAGCAGTCTTATTTCTTGAGTTCTTTTTCATTTTAGATTTTTTTTTTTTTTAGTTAGGATAGATTCTCAGAATAAGAATAATTAGGATTAGATATGTAAGCACAGTTAAGTTTTTTGAAAGTTACTTTCATTCAGTACTTTTGCACCTCTGTATGTATTTATGGTTGTATAATTTTTGACATTTGAAAAGGCTAGATTGCATTCAATATATGTGATAAAGTTTTGGCTTTAAATTAGATGAGGTAATGGAGCTGAAAAGAATTAACACTGTGCCTGATACATAGATTTCTCAGCATATAATGACTGCTTGGAGTCGAGGTGTGCTTTCTGCCCTCGCCTTGTAGGATGGGAAGTACACGCGGGGCCTGTGTGTGTTCACTTTCTGGTGACCAGTGGGGTTGAGTGTTCACGATCCCACAGTCCTGCTTCCCTCTAGCCTAGTTGGTTAGTAAACTTGAATCTGACTGGATGTTTACTTACCTTTCTTAAAATTTCTTTTCATTTGAGGAGTTACATAGCTTGAGAAGTAATTCTCTTGGAATTTGCCAGTTCCTTTACCCTTAATGTCTTTGTGTCCCGCAGAGTCCTTCTACGACACATTCCACACCATGGCTGACATGATGTATTTCTGCCAGATGCTGTCAGTGGTGGAAGTGATCAATGCGGCGATTGGAGTCACCAAGTCACCAGTGCTGCCTTCTCTCATCCAGGTATTGAATACTTGATCTCGAGGGTGGGGCATGAAAGGTTTCAATGTTATTTAGTAGGTACGCCTCAATTTGCTGAGAAGTCTCAATGAGTAAAAACACCTATTGGCGCAGGAAAAGCATTGTTTTACCTGAACAAGGAGGAAACATTTTAAGCCTCAGAAATATTTTCTAAAGTAAACTTTTCCCATTTCAGGTTGATTTCATTGTAACATCGTCAAGAAATCACAGTTATACAGAGAGCTGTAAAGCTAAGGAAACTTGATTCTCAGGCAGGAGAAACTCCTACCCTCAGTCTTCTTAGAGATATGCTTGGTCTCCCCCGACCTTGGGTAGGTGAAGGAAGTGAAATAACTAGTAACGCCTCGTACTTTGGACTTTCTTTCGTATACGAAGGTGGATGCTCTGACTCGTATGGGGATCCCTACCCCTCAGTGCATCTGTCTTTTCCTGATATTTGGAAGATTGTTGTCGGGAACAGGGCACTAAAGCCCTGAATCCTCCTTTCTGTTTCCTAGCGATGCGATTACGCACCATTAAATACCACCTACGCAGACACGGGGGAACGAGGCGGTTGATTATTGGCTAGTCTTTTGTGGAGTAGTTTGTGTCATTTTCCCCTTCTGTGGTGCACCAGCTCTGGCGTGCCAGTAGTGTCAGTGGCGTGGTATATGATAGCCTCGTTATATCCAGGTTTTCTGCCCTTGGAAAGAGGCTACTTTGTTCAAAGAATAAAAAGGGAATAGTGAGTGACCCCCTAATATGGAATAATAGATATTTCTTATATCAATGACTAGTACAAATGAAAATTAGGGTAGGATTTTTAGGGCAAGAATTTCTAGGTTTGTTATCACATGGCATGGCTCCAGCAAGTGCCATTCATGTAGAACACAGTGTGGATGAAGCTTCCGGGAGCTGGACAGTGGGGATGAGTCTTGGGTGACACTGAGGAAGAAGTCTTGGAATAATACATATAGCATGATTTCAGCACATTTAAAAACAGGCCCAGTGAAATAGTACGCTGTTTAGGAATACATACATAAGCAGAGTGGTCATGGAGTGGTTAACACAGGCAGTAGTTACATCCATGGCGGTGGGGGGCGGGGGGCCTTACTGGTAATGTTCTGTTTCTTAACTTGGGTTATGCAGACACAAATGTTCATTTGGCAGTATCCTTGAAACTGTGGTTGAATGTGTGTATATTTAAAAAAAATACTATTTATGATGATACATTTATACACACATGTACACTTGTATCCAGAAAGACTGGCTTGGGTATTTAACTTGTTCCAAAACTGGGGCAGAGGATTAAACCAGTTGAGCTCAATCTTTTTCTATTTACCTCGAATTGAGTTGGGTTAGGTTTCAGGTAACACATGTATATGGTTTTTAAACGTATATTAAACTTTTTTCTCTCTCTCGGGTCCTTTTAATAGCTTCTTGGAAGAAATTTCATTTTGTTTATCATCTTTGGCACCATGGAAGAAATGCAAAACAAAGCTGTGGTATTTTTTGTGTTTTATATATGGAGCACAGTTGAAATTTTCAGGTGGGTAGAAGCGCTAGGGTGGTGTTTAAATGCTTCTCCTGTGGATCAGCTCTCTTTTCTAGCGAGTTGCTGTCTCATCCAGAGTCTGTCTTGGTTTGGGAATCACGTTCCAGCCGTGGAGAGTTGTAGTTGGAGCTGTGTGCTCTGTAAAAGTGAGGCATGGTTTTTTTTAAAGCAGCCTTTGGATTGTGGTACCAGCCCGGCCACTGGGGAGTGGAAGGAGAGACCCAGAGAAATGAAAAGACCTATTTTACCCTTCAGGATCTTGCTGTCTTGTTGGGAAGAGAGGGCTCATTCACAAAGAAAAATTCATGAAAGGGCTGAAGAAACATGAGGTTGAAGGAAGAATCCAGGTTGGAAGGAACAAGTGATGGCCAGCCTTCTAGAAGGGATAGTAGAGATGAATCATTTACTACAAGATTTTTGAAGTTTAAATTGACCTCTTATCTGATTCTTCCATTTTCTTAGTTGTCAATAAAAGAAGTATATTAAAAAAAAATTCAATTAAAGTAGATATATTCTTCACTACCAGGCCATATATGTTCCATGTGTATGATTCAGGGTTAAAGGACTTTGGGATACTTAAGTGTACTTTTGTATACTTACTTTGATAGCATCCATTTATCCAGAGATGAAGTGTCTGTCAATGTGTCAGTCATCCTTATCTACTTGGAATGTTGATCAGAACTAGGAATAAAGTTATAAAGCTTCTGAGCATCCATTCCACATACTGAACTATTACAAAGAGGATTCCTTTGAGACCTACACTTAGGCTGTCGTTAAAGAGAGTTCACATCCTTTGAAGATGGGGGGAGGAACATGATAGGAGTTTGTAGATAGAGCAGGATGGTGTTACTGTTCTGAAGAAGACACGTGTGGCTAATGGTGAAATGGTTCTGTTTGAATGGTGATCTAGAGTTGCCTTCAGAACCTGAAGTGGCTTCTAACATCTGAAATCCTTTTTTTTCATAGGTACCCCTTCTACATGCTTTCCTGCATTGACATGGATTGGAAGGTGCTCACGTGGCTTCGTTACACTGTGTGGATTCCTTTGTATCCTATGGGATGTTTAGCAGAAGGTACTTTCAGGAGCTCTAGGTTTTATAGCTTAGCTCCAAGGGATAGTTAAGTCCATAGGCCAGACAGTTCTTCCTCCCTCTGCCAGCCTGAGTCAATATATGGATGTTAGACTTCTCAAGATTTTCTTTCCAGTGGTTTCCTTCCATAATACTCCTGGTATCCAGACTATTCTATGGAAGGTACCTCATTTGGAAGCTGGGAGGTCATGTATCACATGCTTCCTTTTTATATGCTAGTTTTAATTTTCCAAAGCCAGTTCATATTGATGATTTTATTTTATTCTGTCAAGCAACTAGTAGGTGAGTCAGGTAGGGATTTTTCTATCCAGTTTATAGAATAGGAAACTGAAGCCCAGCGTTATCAAATGACTGTTCTTCATTCATCTTCTGTTGTCAGCTTGGAGGTTCATCTTTTAGGAAAACTGGGGGGAGGGCAGGAAGAGGCATAGCCGTCTGTATGAAGGGAGGAGGAAACATTTTCAACAAACCCGTGAATGGGGGGCAGGGGGAGGAGGGTAATGGGGGAAAGAAGGGGAAGGGTCATCAAGGAACATGTATAAAAGACCCAGGGACAAAGCCACAGGGGTAGGATTGGGGGTGGGGGAGGGGATGGGGGAGGGTGGTATGGGGAGAGTAGAGACAACTGTGCTTGAACAACAATAAACAAAAATAAAATTAAAAAACAAACCAACTCGTGACTGAAACTTGGCGGGCTTAGAAGGCTCTGTCACTAGATGTGACTGTATTTTATTTGCTTCTAACAAGTTCTTGTTTCTGCCTTCAGCTGTCTCAGTGATCCAGTCCATCCCGATATTCAATGAAACAGGAAGATTCAGCTTCACATTGCCATATCCAATGAAAATCAAAGTTAGATTTTCCTTTTTTCTTCAGATTTATCTTATTATATTATTTTTAGGTAAGCATTGGCTCTGTAATACCCTCTCACTTCTTTTACAGCACGGAGTGAAATAATTTCAAGTTTTGAAAGTGTTTAGGAATCGTATTTCCAAAAGAGTAGTGTCGAGCTGAGAAAGAGACTGCTTTGCAGAACAGATGCTCCAGGAGAACACGCTGCGTATGGGAAGCATTTCTTCCCAAATCCCCAGTGGTCGAGTTATTGGTCATAGGGAACTCACCATAATATATTTCATGCTTAAAACAATTTAAGGTGCTCTTTTAAAATAGACTGGGAAGCTCATTTTACATTTACTAATTTCAGGAGCACGTCCCTTACGCAGGGCTTACAGGGCGGCAGCCCGAGCGGAAGCAAGGGGTGGGGAGCAGCCTAGACCCGCACGAAGCCTCTGCCTGACCATTCCTCACGGGAGGCCTGCTGGCTTATTTCTTACTTACTTTTATAGAAAACAGAAATTTGTGCCTTAATTCATAAAAGCTAAAAGGGAAAAATATGTAAACCTAAATGATTGCAAATATGAGAGATTTACAAGCCTTCCTGAGTATAAGGACTGTTTACTTTAGATACAGTTCTCATACATTTTAATATGCTTTATGTATTTATCCCTGCTTTTTAGTTCACAAAAAGCCTTGAGGTGGCCCTAAATAAGTACGGCTTTCTGGTCTCCTAGCAACAGAGGATGGGACAGCAGATAGTATATTAATCTATTGCTGTGCAACAAATTACCCCAAAACTTAGCAGCTTAAGACAACAAACATTTATTATTTCACGTGGTTTCTGAAGGTCAGGAAGCAGCGCGGTCTGGTGGCCCTGGCTCAGGGTCCCTCATGAGGTTTCAGTCAGGCCGTCAGCCCGGCTGGGGCAACGGTTTCTGCAGGCCTGACTGGGGCCGGAGGCTTCAGTTTTGGGCCACAGCACTTCCTCATGTGGCTGCTTGTGACATGGCTTCCCCACCCCCAAGCAGGTGATCTGAGAAAGCCATAGGCCACACTGCCGTTTAAAAATTTTATCTATTTCATTTTTAATTGTAATATACTTGACATACAACATTATATAGGTGTGTAACGTGTTGATTTGATACATGAATATATTGTAACGTGATTGTTGTTGTAGTGATGAGCCCCTCTGCCATGTCCACACTGCCTTTTATAACCTAATCTCAGAAGTGACATACTGTCACTTCTCATATTCTGTTGGTTAGACCGACCTAGTACAGTGTAGGAGGAGCCGCACAAGGGTGTGCAACACTGTCACTGTGGGAGGTAGGATCGCTGGGGCCCATCCTGGAGGCCGGCTCTCCCGGACGGTGAGAGGAGGACCACAAGGAGTAAACCCCGGAAGCCAGGGGCCCAGCCGTCTTGGAGACTTGGTGCAGGGGAAGAGGGGGGTGCTCAGGACGTCAGCACACGGCAGAAGCACGGTTCGGCAACGTATGTTATGGGTGTAGGTCATTTGCCAAAGGCTAAATTTTATTTCATTTCTTATTTTCTATTTCAGAAAGGGTATAATATATTTCAGAAAGATTTCTAAGCAGAAGTGTTAAAATGGTTGGTCGCTGAGGGGAATAAGCTTCAATTTGGAAAAGGCACTCACTCATTAAAAGAACTCTTTACCTCTGTTACTGGATAAATCTGCTATTACTGTTCTGAGACTCCCTGAGGCGGGCATGCAGAAGGTGTTAAAGAAGAATAAGTTTTGGAAAGATCCTTATGCTTTACAAATAAAGTTAGGAGGGTGGAAGTATTTTAATGTGCACGAACCCTAGTGGCCCTTCTTCATGTTGTTTATGTTGTCACATACTCAAATTTTCAAGGTTTTACACTCATATTTAGTTTGCCTACAATGAATATATACTTGTTCTTATTCTTCAGAATGAAAGAAGTTTTAAATTTGCGTAATTTAGAAGCAGTATATCAATCAGTTACATTTGTACACAGATCAAGTTACTTTTCTAAACCTACATTCTCTCACAATAAGCCTGTAAAGTAAGTGTTTTTAGCTCTCTTGTACAATGAGGAAGTAAAGGTGAGGACAAGCGACAGAATAGTCAGTGGTCAAGTAGAGTTGAAACTTGTTTTTTCTTGACTCTGAAATGCTGTGTTTTCCAATTCACTGGATTGTGCTTCCTAGAAAAGTGTGTCATACCTTGTAAAATATAGCTTAATGCAGGTTATTGCATAGCCTTGAATTAAAAATTGGGTTGTTTCTATACTTTAGATTTACATATTTTTGTAAGTCTTACTTAAAGTGTAAAAAAAATACTCCAATTAAGGAAATGTTTAGGGATACTGATGTCTGTAACTTTCATTGAAAAACATCAAAAATGAGATGGGAATGGGTATGTGATAAAGTAAATGCAATGAATAGTTAAAGTTTAAATCTAGGTGGTATTTACTGTACAATGATTTAGGCTTTTTGTAGGTTTGAAAATTTTGGTAATAAAATACGGGATAAAATTAAATTGTAAACCCACTGGGAAAAAATTGAGTTGTCTCTAGTACATAGTACATTGTAATAACTTGTTAATAAGTTGTTAATTAGGTTGTATTTCCTGAGCAGCTGCAACAGGTATAGAGTATGAAAAACAGGCAACTTGAGATCGTCCCTGCCCTCAGAGCTTTGGTTATAAACAAAGACAAAGATTTTCATTTCTAATTGGCATCTTTTCTTTTTCAGGGTTATACATAAATTTCCGTCACCTTTATAAACAGCGCAGGCGGCGCTATGGACAAAAAAAGAAAAAGATCCACTGAAAAGAGATTTAGATGACTTCTTGCCATTTAGACTTTTGAGCCTACTCTATAATTCTTACGGTTTTATCTTCTTGTATTGATGTAAAAGTTTTTTTAAAGTTAAATGATTAAATTCTAAGTAAGGCTATCTTCCGTTTCCCCCAGTGACATCCTGAATTTACTGTATTATCTCACTGTAGTACTTGCATGACATCTGATGACAGGCTCGTTCTTTTGTGTTCTGTTGGTGACAGCAGATTCAGCCCTGCTTCCGCCCACTCCATGTTGTCAGTCAGTTTCACACAAGCCAGAGATTTCTTCAGTGTCCTGAATCTGCTGGGTACTGTCCATGCTCACAGTTGGAATTTGTTCTTTTCAGCTGTTGTGTGAAGGGGCGGGGGGGATGAAGACTGTTTTGCTCTATAGGAGGCTGTGAAAATGACTCGGGCAGGACCTAATATATTCTGTACCCAAGGGGTTACTTGTTAAGTAGGGTGGCATTGATTTTTTGAAAATCAATTCAACTCAGTCATTGCTAAAACATTTCTGAGTCCAAATGGGCCTAGAAAACACGTATTACCTCTGAATTTGTCGGCCTCTCTAATGCTAGCCTCTGTGGTGTGATACCACGCTTACCTGTGTGGGCACAGAATGATTTGAGAGAGACCAGTCAGAACCTTGGAACACTATTAACACTTCCTTCATTCTGAGATAAAGCAGAACTATGTTCAACACTAAAGAAAGACGAAACATTAGTTAGAAAATAATGAGATGATAAGAGTTCCAAACCCAAATGGCTCCAGGGATCAGAAGGATCAAACTGGCGGTAAGACGCTGGCAATGTAGCCTGTAGCAACCTGGGAACATGAGAGTAGGCCAGACTAAGTATGCGTATAAAACTGTCTTAGGCTGTGCACAAAAACTCAATCTTCCTTCCTCTGCACTGGCTAAGTCCGTGTACTTGTGTACCTGTCAGAGTAGGTGGTGGGATTGTCTGTTTTGAACGGACCTCAGAAATACCTTTTATTCTGCCGCTGTTTCACCTTTCCGCAGTAGGACAGTGAGCAGAGAACTGGCTGGAGAATCACCAGCTGGTCTTTTAAGAAAGATTCCTGGCAGGAACCCACCAACAGAGGAACTGAAAAAAATCTCGGCATTGTGAAGTTTGGCCATTGTCAAAGACATCAGTTTCTTTTACCACATTCCAAGCAAACTAAGTAAAATGGGTTAGAAGTAACACTAGGATAAAAGAATTTAAGGCCAGTTAGCTCTTCCTGTTTTGCCATTCCCATTGTTCCTGGGGGAAAGGGAACTAAATGAGTTCTGCTGTTTCTCTGAGCCCAAAGGGGAAACTTGGTTTCACCTAAAAACATATGAGCTTAGGCTGGATGATTTTTTTACCAATTCATTGCACTGAAGGATTGCATGTCTTAACTTCTGTCGTACTTGTTTGTATTAACTTCTGATGTTCTTTCACCTTTCTGTGTGTAACTGGGCAGATGAGCTTTGCAGTAGATGGTGCTGCATATGTGGCAGAATCTTACATTCTTAAAAGCCCCTTTGTTCCTGTCTGAGAAAGCAAAAGATTGTGTATTTCTATTAAACATTTACAGTCAAAATCCTAATAACTTGTGTTTAAAGAGCATTTATGTATCCTAATGGTTTTCAGATTGTTAGTGATAAAAGTCCTTTGTTCAGACAAAATATTATGTAGCTGTTCAGCAAGTTAAACCGAAAGTGGCTGCTCAGGTTGAAGCCTGAGGGAAGTAACACCTTGGGCCATCCACAGCAATTTGAAAAGCGCTGATTATGTAAATACAACCTAGAGAAGCTAGCAGACTTGCCCGGGGTCACGCAGCTGGCCCGTGAATTGGAAGGATAGCTGACTGCAGTGACCTGCCAGGATCTAGCCTCCCCCCGCCCCCATTCAGGGTGAAACCAAAGGTAACCCAATGATTTATGAATCTGTGCCACAGAGGAAGCAAAAATTATATCCAGATAGGACAGAACAAAAGGCCTAAAGACAGTGGTTTCCCAATGAAACCATTTTATAGAAAATCAAGTAGTATTTTTATTTAAAAAAATTGGGAATAATTTTACACATTTATGGTTGCTATTTAAAAGTCTGTATCTCAAGACATACCGAAGGCACCTAAAGGTTACCACCAAGTTTTGCCCAAGTTCTAAGAAAAGTTCTGAAACTTGGTGGTATAGGTCTTGCACTTAGAAAGTTTGAGACAGTCTGTGTTGCTCATTCCAAGGCCAGAAGCTTGAAAATGTCCTTACAATTGAGCAAAGAGAAGATGCCTTCCAGAAATCCAGAGGACCCTTGCAGGTTAGGTTTCCTGAGGAAGTGGGAGACCTCTGTGCCCAGCAGACCGTCAAGCTTCTCAGTAGATGTAGCCATAGTGGGAGCAACAGGTGTCTTTTGGGCTGAAAGACTGAGCACTAGGAAGTTAAAGCCCAAGCAGCCAACCACCCTTCAGGGCCCTTCTCAAGAGTGCAGCAGTCATTCAAATCAGCAAGTGGTGCTTCTGAGGCAGCCTCTGGGAGGTCTCTGGGTGGTCAATGCAGAGGTAAACACTCTGGAGAAGTTTTCACTGCCACGCATATTCAGTTGAAATGAAAAAAGAAGGCAGGCTCCCAAAGTCGGCTTCACATTCTTTCAGTGCTGCTCCCAGAGAAGTCTGTCTGCAAAGGTGTGATGTTGTGGTCGTAGCCGGCGTACTCGGAGGTGCCGGTGCTGGCCAGCTTGAGCTGCTGGGCAGCGTGGGTCAGCTGGAACGCAGCATCGGGGTGGGCTGTGTCGGGCAGCAGCGTGCACTCCCTTTCTAGCATGTCAGCCACCCCTTTGAGCAGGTCCAGGAAGCCAAAGGCCAGGGCAGCCTTTCGTAAACGGTTCAGCTCCTGAAATGATAAAAACAAAACAATCTTAAAATGCTTTTTCTTCATTACATACTTTTTTTTGACAGTGGAGGTTTTTTACTTCAAAGTTACAACTGAATAAGTAGATTTGTTTGCAACCATTATTGTGAAATGCTTTTTAAGAAAACGCAGCCAACTTCTCTGCAAATAGACACATACCTCAACTATGATGACCTAATTTTTGGTGGATAAGGTACATGGTTAGGCATAAATAGGTAAGCTCATGGGTAAATTACCTATTAAATTCTCAGTCAAAACTCCATTTGTGGTTCTCACTTCTTGGTTCATCTCTATTCCCACTTCATCTACCATCTTGTCTGCTTCCTGACCAACTGCCTAGTCGACTGTCTACCTGATGAGCCAGTCCAGTCACTTGAGCAGCTCATTTGGAATTAATCACATAGTCTCTAAGTGCTCAGCTTAGAGTAAGTTTTCCTTGGCCCCTGAACTTGAGTGAGCATTTTTATATAAGAAGAAATGTTTGTATGGAGATGCCTATGATGAGAGTGTGAGGACACGCCTGAGAAGCGGTTCCTCCGCAGGTGAGGGGATGCTGGGCAGGCAAGAGAGCGGACTGCAGCACAGGTCGCCACCCGCAGCCAGTGAGCACGTCAGCCAAACGTGCTGAGGCACTTGCGCACAGTTTCATTTACTCATAACAAAGGAGGGTTACTTTTCCTCCGTTACTCAGCTATGGAAAAGGCTTGTCCCAAACCTTAGAGGGCTCTGAAGCCTCTCATGCCTCTCCGGCTGGGCCTGCGGCTGCGGGCCATGCTCATGTTTGGAAGGGGCTCTGGAGGAGTCAGGAAGTCTGACCTGAAACACTGCCACAAAAAGAAAGGTGGGGTAGTGAATGGGAGCAGAGAAACAGGAAATGCCCCATCAGCCACTGAGCAGCGTGATCTGGGCAAGTTGTGTAGCCTTGCTGGGTCACAGTGGCCTCATTTACAAAAGTGAAGATAACCTCTTCCCTGCCCCCTGCAGAGGCTGGTGCAATTGCTTGGCAGAGGCCCTTTCTGGCTTTGATGTGTGGGATTATATAAAACCAGAATAAAGAAATGGGCTTTCTAACCACTGGTAACAAGTGAAAAGTTCAAAAGGCCAAAGTACAAGTGTGTCACGTTGAATAGATGGCTGATGAGCGTGTGTAGAAAGCTCTGCAGGGAGAGGGGATACAGCCAAAGAGTGGTCCTTCAGGGCCTGTGTGAATTACCGGCGTCAGTTGAGGGGCCTGGGGGCAGATCAACTCTCTGAGCTCTGATTAGGCTGTTCTTGCCTGGTTTCACCAGCTCACTACATAATTAGGTTTGAATACAATAGTGACATAAAGGTAATGAAATAACATCCAGACAAAGTAGCATGTATGTTCTCTGGAAGAAACACTGGCCTGGGGCTGGCTGTGTGCCTGCATCTTAAGATTTACAGCTAGGACACAACTGACAACACCGCGTACCTCACACTGTCACTTAATTTGATTTCACCCAAACACCAGAAGGACGGGAGAAGGGACTGAACTTAAGTGCCCAGTACTCCACCTCAGCCCTTGTAACTTTAGTCCCTCCATCCATGGTTCTGGATTAGCTACGTATGGTTTGCAATTCACAAATGTGCAATTTTAGAAGTCACTCCTGAAGCAGCTTTTCTGGTACAGTAAGAATGTTCCGGGCGATCGCCATCCCAGGAAGTCATACCCAAAGGTGGCCTGAGGTTAGGCTGCATACCCACATGAGACGGTGAGAAGGGTTAAGAGCTGTGAGGGTTAAGGGCCTTTCAACGCCTTCAGCCTGTCACAGCTGCACCAACACCGAGGAGCCCTTCAGCAGAGACCAGGCCGTTTAGGCACTTCCAATTCTTAGGCACTTCCAATTCTTAGATTTTAGGGCAAAAATGGACCTATCATTTCTACTGACTTTACTGATGAAAAACAACTGAGGCGGAAGCCATACATTTCTAATCCTCATCGCTGTTCACTCTGCTGCCCCACATGAACAATGGTGAACCATTTGTTTTCTGCAAACATCCCAGGGCCTACCCTCTTCCACTGTGATTCTGATATAGTCTCACCTTATAGAATGTCTGTGTTTTTTCAGGTAGTTTCCTTGCATTTCTTAAAATCTTCTGTACATCTGTCTATCAAGGGTAAAAATAATTCAACATTAGAATTCTGTGGTAAAGGGGAGAGAATACAAAAGAACGGCTCTAAATGTTTAAAGAAATGAAAACATGCACAGAGCCACAGTGTCAAAATGAGGATCCCTTTTGAGTTAATGCCACTGTTCTGTTCAATTGGTAGAGTGCCTCCCTCCTTCAAAGCACTTGATAATAAATCCCTTGGTGACAGAAATGAACTCAGCTCACAAAAACACACCTAGTAATCATGTATATATCTCCCGCTGCTTTTTAAACAAGGGTGCCGAGACCATTCAGTGAGGGGGAGAGTAGTTTCTTCAACAAATGGTGCTAAATAGCCACATATGTAAAAGAATGAAGTAGGACCCTTCACACCATATACAAAAAAGTAAATCAAAATGGATCAGAGCTACAAATATAAAACTCAGGAGAAAACATAGGGGCAAATCTTCATGTCCCTGGATTGGGCCATGATTTCTTAGTTACAACAGCACAGCAACAAAAGAAAAATTAATCTGATGAATGTTCATAGTAGCACTACTCAGAATAGCAAAAATGTAGAAACAATCCAAATGCTCATCAACTGAATGAACAGATAAACAACATGTCACATAATTATACAATAGAATATTATTTAGTCATCAAAAGGAATGAAATATTGATATAGACTACAAAATGAGTGAGCACTAAAAGCATTATGCCTAGTGGAAGAATGCTCAACAACAAAGGCCACATATTATATGATGCATTTATATAAACTATCCAGAATAGGTAACTCCATACAGACAGAAAGTAGTACAGTGGTTGCCAGAGGCCAAGGGAAGATGGGAAATGGAGTGACTTACTTAATGGATACAGGGTTTCCTTTTGGGGTGGTAAAAAAATGTTCCGGAACTGGACAGTAGTGATGGTTGTATAACTGCGATTGTACTAAATGCCACTGAAATGTGTATTTTAAAATGGTTGAAATGATAAATTTATGTCTATCACCACAATAAAAAAAAATACACCCAGGCTTAAAATAAAAATTTAAAAATAATTTTAGAAAAATTCAGAAAAAGGAAAAGAAAAATTCAGCCATCCTTCCCATAGGGAAATACTGGGGTCGGGGATGGCTGAAAGGGGGAGAACCTGATTTTCAAACAAGGAGAAGGGACCCCCATCCCCTCGGCCATGCAGGATGTCCAGTCTCCATGGGGGCAAGGAGAGACTATGCCATCAACAGAGGCTGCTTCTGGTGCCAGGTGGCCTGATGCCTCTCCTCATCTGCCTGAGGCTGGACTCCTTGGAGGAATAAAGAAAAAAATAGTACTCAAATGAGAAAAGAGGCTCAAAAGTGATTTTTAAAAATAGGTATAAAGAACATTATGTCAACAGAAGAAGAAATGTCACTCAAGTACCGTGCCTGAAAGTAGCATACCGTGGTGATAGTATACTCTCAGGGTCCCATGAAAGTGTTTTTGTAGCATTACTGTGTAAAATGCTATATGGTCTGGGCTCTACTCTGGGGATGGAATAACCACATGAAGGTCTTTCTCAAAATTGTTGTAAAAGATAA